ACGTACTTGGACAGCTGCCCGCGGGTGTGGTATCTGCGCGTGAGTGTGCGTAAGAATCACTCTATGGTCTTATCCTGCTGACTTCAGAATACTATATTTAGCGCCTTGCTACGCTCACCCACGCACTCGCTCTCGGACACTCACAGACACACACCCATACACACACACACACACACACACACACACACACACACACACACACACACATACACACACACACACACACACAACACTGACCACTCTTGGGGGAGGTTGGCGGTGACGTTTTGATGCTGGTTGTTCATGAAGAGATCGAACCAGAAGTGGGTCTTGCGGCCATGCTTGCTCTCCTCCTCCTCGGCAAACTCCAGCAGCGTGGTGAGGACATCCACGATCTTGTAGCGCCACGCATGCGACACAAACACGGTTGCAGGGCGCACGTCATCACTGGCGTTTTGATCCCGCATCACGTCAATGTACGCGCACTGCTTCTCCTCTGTTTGTGGCACAACAAACTCCACGCACGCCTCCTGCGTTGTCATGTCCTTGTGCTTCTCTGGAAACGCCGTCTCAAGGCCCTGCAGGAAGGACCTGATCGCTCCCGCAGACACCCCATCCGTGTTGATGCCGGGTGGAGGCATGGTCGCGCTGGCGAAGGTCTGTGGCTTGTTGTTTGCAGTGCCAATGTCCTCCTGAGTAGTGCTGTCATGTAAATAGGGCAATGGCCTATTTTGAGCTTAATTATAGATGTGCGCCTTCGCAGGATGCGGCGTCCGAGTTGGAACTCAGTGTTGCAGCACATTTCGTGCACCACGTTGTTGAACAGGTCATTCTAGGTTAGACTGCGGCCACAAGATGCGATTTACACAGCTCACGATGAGTGCTGAACACTTATAATGTTGGTGTTGGCTGAGTCAGCATATTTTGCTGTGAAGTTTCTGGGTCCTGTGCCACGTGGGACTTTTGCTTCTGCTGCAGTTTTCTGTCTATGCGTGAGAGTGCCTCTCGGTTCATGTTCATTCACTGTACATCCTTCACAACTCAAGTAAACACACACAGCATACAGAGCACACACAGCGCACATACAGCGCACACACAAGTCTTCAACAGCAGCACCACATCTGTGAATGTTTAATCATAAAGCCAAATGGCCTTCCGTATGGCGTCCACAAGTCAAGGTGCAAACCTTTTCTCAAGCCGAGACCGATGAGTCTAATTGCTGTGGCTCCTACGACAACGTCGCAGTCGCGTACGACGCTGCACCCCTGGCAATGCGTTTGACGCGTTGCCGAGGAGTATTGTCCTTGCACACCGCAGCAGCAGGTGTACTTACTGCTGCGGTACTCGCTCGTGCCGTGTGTGTGTTTGTGTATGAATGTGTGCGCGGGGGTGATGCATGTGTGTGCATAGAGGGAGTAACTCACCGTGCATGTATTGACTGCCCCCTGTAACTTGCGCGAAGACTCATATTTTGCCGCGTCGCCCCAACAAATTGTGGCGCCAGGAACGTGTTTGCGACTCGCATCGCATACAAGGTTCGTCGCCGTGCCAGAAAGCCGTGAAGCAGTTGTTTCCTGTGCCATGTGGTGAACTTGGCCCGGACATGCTGGCATTCCGCCAGCTCCTCAATCATGTGGGGATGCCGTATGCATCTCTGCTACTCCCCCGCCTTGCTGCGCTGTTTGCCATGCTTCCTTGTGCGGCTGCCTTTTCTCCCGTCGCGCCTTTTTCTGTGGAGACACTTTGCCCAGCGCTGTTGCCTAAATCGTAGTACTCGTCCCGTACGAACGCAAGCTAGTTGTTGACAGGCAAGTCCACTCTGCTCAAATCATATCATTGACCTCCCTTCTTCACGACACCACAAATTTGTTTTGTGTTCTGGAATGATTCACGTGATTTCCCTCCAACCTGTTGCACGTGCAGTGTTTACCTTGTGTGGTTGCTCGATGTTACATGCTCTTGCATAACACACCACATAACCACACAACTCTCAACAAACACTGCCACGACACCACTTTGCGTTGTCGACAATTCTTGTCTTGTGCTCTGTTTCTTTCTGTTGGAGTGTTCATTCATCCTACATCCTTGTTTGCTTCACAACTCAAGTAAACACACACAACTTCCTCTTGCCAAGACAATCTCCCACACAACACACAGCACACGTACAAGTGGTCAACAACAGCACCACCACCATGAATGTTCAACACAGGCAGCTGCTCATGAGCGTCAATGAGGAGAAGATTCGCCGCATCATGGTTGGGCTGCATGCCAAACTGCCTGAATACCAACGCCTGAGCGGCAGCGACAAAGGCCTGTTCAAGCAGCTCCACAGTGACAGGTGCCAGGCCATCCCGCAGGTGCGGAATGTGTATGAGCGGACGCGTGTGAAGTCGACCAGAAACAACTATCGCTCACTCAGCAACAGCATCCTGACTCTGAAGAAGATTGTCACGGAGCACTCGACCATGAACTCTCCTGCAAACAAGGCAAAGCGGCTGCAGTGCGCGCACGACCTCCTTGAGTTGCACAAAGCCAACTCTAATTACCTTGTATTTCTGGATGAGATGTCCTTCTACGTTGCGTCTGGGCGAAGCTACGGCAGAGCGCCCAAAGGAGAGAGAGAGAGAGCAGTGACGAGGACAGCTGTTCGGCCTTTTCGCTTCGCTGAAAGCCAACATCTGAAATTTTGAGTTTCAGGATGTGTTCGAAGGAGACGGAAAAAAGGAACTGGACAAAATTCTGCCCAGAATTCCGTTCGAAGGAACGCGATTGAGACAAAAAAAACTGCTGCAAAAAAAAAAAAAAGTTCGACTGCTGGGTCTGCCAGGGCCGAACAAAGTGTTGTCCGGCGCGCGAGGATGGACGACGCTGATGCACACGCACGACGTCGGCGGAGGAAGCTGATGTTGTGGTTGCTGATGAGAAGAAGCATACGTCGCAAGCGTCTATTGATTCTTCTTATGTTGCTTGATGAAGATGACAACCGACGCATCCACTGTTGACAGGCAAGTCCTGTCTGCTGAGTCATCATTGACCCCCTTCTTCACGACACCACAACTTGCATTCACCTCTCTTGTGTTCTGGAATGGTCACGTGATTTCCCTCCAACAACAGCACCACCAGCATGAATGTACAGCATCTGCATGGTGAAGTCGTCAGGATGCATACACACAAAGTGAGACAGGAGAGGGCATGTACAGTTCATGTTGCATATGTTCCCAATAGCTGCTACGTGAAGAAGTTTCCGGTTTCAACAGCTTAGATTCGGATAGCATGCAACAAGACTGTGGCTATTCCCCATACGTGATGTGATGGCGGTTCCTGTTTGAAGATCCCCGCTGTTTGACTGACTTGACATCAAAGCCAAGTTTAGCGACGCGCGATGTAACTTCCCCTGTAGCATTGGGCGTCTTCCACGCGCTGATTTTGATCGCTTAGATGGGGATGTTGTTGTTGACAGGCAAGTCCTGTCTGCTGAGTCATTGACCTCTCTTCTTCACGACACCACAGCTTGCATTCACCTCTCTTGTGTTCTGGAATGTTCGCGTGCTCTGATTCTTTCTGTTGCAGTGTTCATTCATCCTACATCCTTTTTTGCTTCACAACCCAAGTAAACACACACAACTCTCTCTTGCCAAGACAATCTCCCGCACAACACACAGCACACACTTCACACACAGCACACACAGCACACACACACAAGTCTCCAACAACAGCACCACCACCATGAACTTGCAACAACAGCACACAGACACACACACACACACACAAGTCTCCAACAACAGCACCACCACCATGAACTTACAACAACAGGTGCCCGGGACATGCTATGCCGCGGCGACACAAATCATATGCACCACCCACAACTCTCTGGAGGTGTGTACAAGTGTTGACAGGCAGTTCCTGTCTGCTGAGTCATATCATTGACCTCCCTTCTTCACGACACCACAAATTTGCACTCACCTCTCTTGTGTTCTGGAATGTTCACGTGATTTCCCTCCAACCTGTTGCACGTGCAGTGTTTAGCTTGTGTGGTTACTCGATGTTACATGCTCTTGCATAGCACACCACATAACCACACAACTCTCAACAAACACTGCCACGTCACCACTTTGCGTTGTCGACAATTCTTGTCTTCTGCTCTGTTTCTTTTTGTTGGAGTATTCATTCATCGTACATCCTTGTTTGCTTCACAACTCAAGTAAACACACACAACTCACTCTTGCCAAGACAATCTCCCACACAACACACAGCACACACACACACACACACAAGTCTCCAAGCACCAGCATGAGTATTCAACACTTGCGGCGTGCAGACGCACTGCCCAGCTGAGCTGGCTCGAAAAGATGTGGAAGGAAGCCAAAGCACGCGCCGGTACCATGCTCGACCCAAAACGCTTCGCTCAAATTGAGGCCTCACTCCGCTCTCTTTTGCTGATCGTATGAGTGTTGACAGGCAAGCCCACTCTGCTCAAATCATATCATTGACCTTCGGTTGACCTCCCTGCTTCACGACACCACAAACATGCATTCACCTCTCTTGTGTTCTGGAATGTTCACGTGATTTCCCTCCAACCTGTTGCACGTGCAGTGTTTAGCTTTGTGTGGTTGCTCGATGTTCCATGCTCTTGCATAGCACACCACATAACCACACAACTCTCAACAAACACTGCCACGTCACCACTTTGCGTTGTCGACAATTCTTGTCTTCTGCTCTGTTTCTTTTTGTTGGAGTATTCATTCATCGTACATCCTTGTTTGCTTCACAACTCAAGTAAACACACACAACTCACTCTTGCCAAGACAATCTCCCACACAACACACAGCACACACACACACACACACAAGTCTCCAACAGCACCAGCATGAGTATTCAACACTTGCGGCGTGCAGACGCACTGCCCAGCTGAGCTGGCTCGAAAAGATGTGGAAGGAAGCCAAAGCACGCGCCGGTACCATGCTCGACCCAAAACGCTTCGCTCAAATTGAGGCCTCACTCCGCTCTCTTTTGCTGATCGTATGAGTGTTGACAGGCAAGCCCACTCTGCTCAAATCATATCATTGACCTTCGGTTGACCTCCCTTCTTCACGACACCACAAATTCACATTCACCTCTTGTGTTCTGGAATGTTCACGTGATTTCCCTCCAACCTGTTGCACGTGCAGTGTTTAGCTTTGTGTGGTTGCTCGATGTTCCATGCTCTTGCATAGCACACCACATAACCACACAACTCTCAACAAACACTGCCACGTCACCACTTTGCGTTGTCGACAATTCTTGTCTTGTGCTCTGTTTCTTTCTGTTGGAGTGTTCATTCATCCTACATCCTTGCTTGCTTCACAACTCAAGTAAACACACACAACTTCCTCTTGCCAAGCCAATCTCCCACACAACACACAGCACACACACACACACACACAAGTCTCCAACAACAGCACCACCACCATGAACTTACAACAGATTATGAGACCCAGCACCATCAGCGCGGACGGCATCAAGGTCTTCGCTGGCGCTGAGCAGGATGCCAACCTCTTCTTCATCACCGTCGAGGCCAAGCTCATCGCCGCTGGCATCGACGCTGGCATCATCGCCGAGGGTGGTGCTGACCACCAAGGAGATGGGCAGGCTCCAGCAGCTGCCTCATCGCCGAGCCCAAGCGCCCACGGTGCTTCGGGTCCCCGCACTCGCTCCCGCGCTCAACGCGGCCCTCGCCGCACTGGCGTCCGCCATGACGCCGGGGACCACGACGACGATGACGACGACGAGGGCGATGGCGACGACCACGGCGCTCAGCCATCTTCCTCCTCTTCCTCTCTCCCTTCTTCCGCCACTCCGAGCGGAGGAGTGCAGGTGGCGTCCCCAGCCTCTGGCCTGCTGGATCCCCGTGATCCACAGGTTGACGCAGCCATCTTCGCGTTCCTCCTTGGCGTCCTGACGGGACACCCGCTGCGGCTGGCCATCACCGACAACCGTGGCCGCTCAGGTGTGCTTGCGCTGCGCCGCCTCCGCGAGCGCTACATCCGCAGCGGCAAGGACCACGTCAGCCGCCTCAGGCAGCAGCTCTCCTCGACCACCTGGTTGCCCACGGACACCGTCGACACGTTCATGTCCCGCATCACGGACATCAACTCGCAGCTCCTCACTGCCGGCGTGTCCATCCCGGAGGACGACCTGCGCACCCTCGTCCGCAACGAACTCCCCGCAGAGTTTGATGTGGCGATGCGGTTCATGGAGCGCGAGGACCCGCCGCCATCGCTGTCCAAGATGACGGCGGACCTCATCCAGGAAGGGCGCCGCCTGCATCGTCCCAAGAAGCGCACGCCTGTGCTCGCCATCGGTGGGCCAGGCTCTGGCTCCTTCGCTGCATCGCCGATGCACGCTGGCACGTCGCCCTCCGACACGAGCGGTGGACCATGCTGTCCACCTGCAGAGCGCGTGACTTGCGCGTTCTGCAACTTCCGCGGACACTGCGCGCAGCAGTGCCGCAAGCTGCAGGCGGCCAAGCGCTACCACGTCATCGACGTGCGGCAGATCCTGGCTACGCTGCGCAGCCATGGCAACGGCAACGGCAAG